AAAAAACAAAAAAAAATATTGTTTTTAATATTTTTGATCTGTAAAACAATGACTAATGATAATTATGATCGCTCAATAAGGCAAAATTATTAAAATTCAAAAGATCTCAAACCACAAAAAAAATTCTGAGCAAAACAATATTTCTTTTGAAAATTAAAATTTTTAACAAAATTTTGACGATACCACAGGGTGCGTTTTAAGAAGTACGATTTTTTCATTTTGTCATATATATTAAACTCTAATTTAATTGTCAAATTTTATGCACCTTGATTTTTACTATTCACATGATCAAATTTAGATTTTTGAAAAGAAAACATAAAAATTTTCTCGTTAGTAAGCGAAATCGTCATACTTGTTGAAAAAAATTTCTTTGATTTTTTTTTTCTGGATAAACTATTACATACCAAGATAGTTATTCTTTGAAAAAATATTTCAACTCGTTGGGTTACTAATCTAAAACTAATCTATTAACAATAAAATAGAGGAAGACACTAAAGTTGCAAAGTCTGTTGCAGACCAACAATAATTGGGTTTTTCTTAATCAAATTTTGTGACGCAAGCTATTGATTTCAACGAGAAGCAGCAATAAAATTTTCTTAATTCATCCTTAATTATCATAAAATGTTCTTACTGCTTCAATAACTTGTTGAATATTTTGGAAATTAAAATAAATAATAAAAAAATATATATTGCAAGCAAAATTAATTAAATAATAAATAAATAAACACCATAAGGCCCATTGAGAAATTTGACACCCGTTAATTCTACAACCTTTTCAAATTGCTGAACAATATTTTTTTTATTTTTAGTATACTAAAATAAAAACCGTTAAACCTGCAACTAGTAGACCATGACTGAGTGACATAAATGTAATACGAATGGATCTAATAAGAATTAGAGATGGAAAAGGTTTGCCACGGTGTGCAACCACATTTTTCAAAAAATCGGGGAGTCGACCAATCGTAGTTTAATCTTTTAGACGGTAATAAAAACATTTAATTCTATAATTCAAATCGTAAATACAATGGTAAAATAAAAACTTATAAATGTTAACAAGAATATGTAAATGTTTTGGAGAAAAAAGGGGTTAAAATTAAGATCATTATCGCAAGAAGTCGACAGAAGGTATCATAAACTTAAAATATATTAAATTGTATTCAAAAAAAAAATTAAAGGCATATTAGAATAATAGGAATACTTAAAAAAGACGATTATGAATAATGAGTAACACATAAATTAACAAAACCTGATGAATTGCAAGTTGAAATAAAAAATTTAATAAAGAAAAATGGGTCATACTTTATTTTGAGATATACATAATACACAAAAAAAAACGCGAACGGAAACAAAAAAATAAGGTAATGGAACATATTGGTTATTAAATCCATAAATAAACAAAATTGTAATAACAGACGGTTGGATTCAAATAAGAAGACCAAACCAAAAAAAAATTCAATATCAAAAATATCGAAAAAAGAGAGAAAGGAATTATAATTTCAGAGAAAATACTCAATATTGGAGTTCATGCTCTTTGTATTGTTCTTTTGAATAAAACATGAATTTATAAACCGAAGGCGTTATTTTGACGAATACAAGGGTATAGGGCTGTAGATTCTGGTAGGTTTCATACCTAAGAAAGAAGCATTACAATTTACATAAGAAAATGTCCGAATAAAAATACTATGTCACATTTCGAACATGAAATTTATTTCCAAAACATGCATAAGGAGGACATGCATATGGAGGCATCCTAGATCATATCTAAAGTCTCCAATCAATGAATAAAATTTACCATACTGAATAAATAATTGAAATAACTTATATATTAACATTTCAGATTTATCTTAAATTCACCCGTTAGTGTTCCAAACTTTATTCAAAACAACTCGATTAATTTATAATACATTTTATTCTCTCTTTCAAAAATTATACAAGATAAAATAAAGTTGGGTCAAACCAATGGTTTGTATTGTAGCACTTTTCCCAAGTGAAATTCTTTACAACAAGTGAAAATTCTGCTTTTAAATACAGTCTATGTATACCTATCACACTATTAAAATTATTTTCATTCATATACAAAACTCTTTCTAGGATTGCATATTTTTAGGATGAACGATTTATGCAGTCTTTGAAATAAAGCAAAAATTAATATAAAAAGGGGTTAACATAATGCTCGATTTTAAGGGTTAATTGTGTGAGTTAAGGAAAATAATTATATTTTTTAATGTCATGGAATTTACCGTTAGCTTTTTGCGTTTATAGAAATTTGAAAAAACGTCCGATTTCGGAAATATAAGGTGTCAAAAATTCAAATTTTACAAATTTCAAGGGGCGATAACATGTGAGGGGGTGGAGATGGAAAAAAATTTTTTTCTAACGAAATGAACTATTTATTAATGTCTAAAAGTCTCTAAAATTTCAAGCTTCTACAGGCTGGGATCTAGAAGAAAAACGACATCAAAAATTTGGAAAAAAAGGACTTTAGATAACGGTAAATTTGAGCGGCCATTTTATTTCTCTAAAGTTTAACTGTAGTATACCGCGCTAGGGAAAGCAAGCCGCTGCCTTTCTGCGTTTGCAAAATTTCAAAAATGCTTATGGTTTCATTGCAACAAATAGTTAAGAAAGGCCATTTTTAAGGTTTTGGGGGGTATAACTTCTAGAGGGGGGGAGATAGGTAAAAATTTTGTTCTACGGAAGTAAGTTTCTAGTAAAGATCTATGTACATATAAAATTTCAGCTTTCTATCTTCAAGGGTGTAGAAGTTTTGTAAACAAAAAAAGTATCCACGGACGGACGTGAGTGAAACGGACGGACGGACGGACAGAGTGAAACTAATAAGCACTTTTTTCAAAAAATTTTTTGGAAAAGTGCTAAAAATAACAAAATTCTTACTGTAATTTTCCTCTTTATATAAATTATTTTCTATAAATTTTTTATTTTAAAAAATTTTCATGGTAGGCCGATTCCAATTTTGATTTCTTTTTTCCCTTTTCACATTTCATTAATTCATTTCAAAACTGGAAAACTTAATTTAGATGGCGTCTAAATTTTCTTAATTTTCACAGATTCTTTTAATGTTTTTTTTTTCTCTCTTTTTTCATTCTGTTTCATGTTATGATTATTCAGTTAGTTTTACTAATAACATTTATTTTAGAGACTCCTTTGAGACTAAATTTTTATATGTATGTATGTGTTGTATATTTTTTTACTTTTATCATCCTTATACAGTCACTGAACTTGTTAAAAAAAATAATATTCTCAAAGTGTATATTTCACCATTTTCTTATTGCAATTTAAAGTGAAAATTTGAAGAAAAAAAAATTATCATTAAAAAAGTAAACTAATAAAATTAATTTTTATTAAAATAACAAATTTACTTTTTACTCATTCTCATAATCATTTTATATTGGACTGTATTCATGTAGTAAGTCTGATTACTAAAAGAGATTTTATACTGTTTCAGGTATTATCTGATACCATTTCAAAAAATCATATTGAATTTTTTGAAAAATAATAATTTTAATACAATTACAAAATAAAAACCTTTTAGAATAAAATTTCATGAACAAATTTTTTTCTAAAATTGAAAAACTTTAGAAATTTATCCGCATCGAAAAAAAAACGCTATACTTATTGGGTTAGTTTAAGATCTTGTTAAATTTCAAACAGTTTATAAACTAACAATTGATATTTTAAAACCAATTAATATTGAGATTTTTTATTGATAATTTTAATAAACAACAGCAATAACGACAATAAAAAATTTAATAGTATTAGATAATACGAACATTTTTAGCATCTGCCTAAACATACACATATATTATTAGTCTATATCTCTACACATCTAACTATCTATATGTATATAGAGAAAAAAAAAATTTGTTTTTCAATCATAACAATTTTTTTAGTTAGTACGAGCCAGTTTTTAAAACATGAATAAAAAAATAATACCGCATTGAATCTTGTTTTGAGCTCAACGACTTATTTGACACTTTATTTAACCCAAAGAGTTGCAATATAAGTACAAAATAAGCTAATCTTACAACAATATATACATGAATATATGTATGTTCACATACTTATAGAAATTTTAAGTTTGATTTGATTAATAAGCGAATCGTGTGCGCTTACATTGAAAGCGTGTTTGTATTTTTGAAATTTACATCACCTTTTTTTTTTTGCGAATTTTTCTTCAATTTCTTCAAGACCTGATACCTTTCATAGCCGGTTTTTATAAATGCTGCACATAATACAGTTGTACACGAATATAAACATAGCGAGTTTTTCTTGGAAATTAATTGCATTTACCGAGCTTTACATTTATTTGTGTAAAATTGCATGGAACGTTTATAAAAAGAAAAAAATAAATAATATTTTTAGCTGCTTTTAAGTGTGTTTTTATATGCTTGGCTGTATTTGTAAAACTATTAATTTAACTCTATTTCAGCACATTATCGTGACTCATTATAGGTTAGAACAGCTCTGACACCAAATTTTGGGGCATTCCGCACATTCTCCTATAAGTAACGGTCCATTTAGGAGTCCTATTCAATGAACTTTGTCATTTTAAAATTAAAATTAAACATAAATTTATTTCTTTCTCTGAACGGAATACTTCCGAGTTTGAATTCACGAATAATATTTATAGCTGTTATTAACCCTAAAAACATTTTATTTTCCAAAAAATAAAAATTCAAAAACAAAACAATTAAATATTAAAACTCATTTTAATTATTAAATCACATAATAACACTGTTTTTTTCCATAATTTCCAAATTCTTATTGTATAATGTCATAAAACTATAAATTGCATCTGATTTTCGAAATACTTGTATAGTATGGATACTAATATATGATATATGAACGGTAAAAATATTTATTAAATTTAATTTTATAGCATGCGTGTATTGTACTGAAAAACATAGGAAGAGTCATGCACCGGAATAACGTTGTTACATCCACTTTGACCTCTCCGTCTATTTAGTCTCTACATTTACCTTCTCTATCACGTGTTTTACAGATTCTTCTGGTTCTAAATATAGTTTTATTAATAATATCTTTGGGTGTGGTATTTATTAGGTTATTTGGTGTTTCTACATGTTCCAATTTTTTAATTGGTTTTTGAATTTCTTCACTTGATTCAAATGTTGCTTGCATTTCAACCGAATTAAATTTTATTAAAAATAAAATTAAATATAATAATACAAAAGTATTCATAATTTTTATCATTTCAATTTTGTTAAATTCAAATTATTAGAGTTTTTTATTTTCAAAACTTATTTGCATTTGAGTTGAAAATATTTTATTCGTGTTCAATAATATTTCCGATCAATTTCTGGATTGAAACTGATTTCATAAAACAAAGATAATTTTTTTTTAACAAAGATATTTGTATAATTGTTAAAATTGTATATATGTATGTAATTAAATTGTAATTATTATCTTAAATGATGACGTTATTTAAAGCTTGATAAATCTCTAATAAATGTTTTAACTGCGCTTTTAAAAATTTCTACAAATTATTTTATTGGAAACAAATTACGCCTGTAACCGCCTACTTATTATTCTCATTTTTTATACACAATAAACTTCATGTATAAAACTGAGATCAAAATCGATTCTCGTTCAGAAATTTGATTCATGTAATGTGCTAACATAAAAAACACTATAATTGATTGTTTATCTCAATAAGTTTGTCCTTTTCTTTCTTCTATACATTAAGAAAAAAGCTTTGGCAATGCAAAAACAGTTTTACATTTTTTAATGCTTGCACACGTTATATATAAACAAATGTCTCAGCATCATTTTTACCAGGTGTTGGTAATAATTTTATATTGTCATTTATCACTTTACTTTTAAAAACGGTCTATATAAATGTAATACAAAAATTATAAGTGATTATAAAGCAATTTACACTATTAATTTTTATAGGTAAACCTTTGAACTTCAAAAAGTATAGTTATGCAAAAATATGTTAGGTTTCCCAGTTTATGTGGCATTAAAAACTTTCCATTCAAACAAAACGAAAAAACAAAACAGATTAACTACGGTCTATGACGTGTTCTTGTTTCTTGCCTTCGCGGTCACCTGAACATAATAAATTATATAAGTCCCTGAATAACTTCCATTGCAGCAATTAAGTTAGTTGAAGCCACGCCACTGTTCAGTAAATTAGATGTGGCCATCATAATATGTATCCATCTCGAAAAAAACGCATCACAAAGAATCTCCTCAAATTTTTCTCTGGCGACATTTGCAGCTAATGCCTGGCCATCAACGTCGTTAGAAAAAGAACTCCAGTGTATGGGCAACCTTTGGTCACAAAAATTCACTGATTCGTCTGAATCACCCGGCAACTAACTGAATATCCATGTTGAGATCCCGCTTTTCTTAAATATCTATTAGACGGCTCTATCGCTTAAATATCTTACAATACTATTGAACAAAAATCTGTTTTAATACGGAAATACATTGAACTAAAATATACCTATGATATCATTTCGTATAGTTCTGGCCCATGGTTTAAAGGAATTACCGAATCCTCATTTATATGCAGTAATCTGAATCACGGTAACGAATCAAAAAAACGTTCGAGTAATTTTGTATTCCCGCTCCAACAACAATGAGGAAAATCATTATTAAATTACCTTCCTCTTTCTTGAAAAATATTATTCATATTAAAAATTTTATTAATTTTAAAACATATTGAATACAATATGCTCAACTTATGTCCGCATATTTGATTCAATTTGCAATATAATGATAAAAAAATTAATATTTTTTACTAACCATTCGTTTTAACTGATAATAAAACTTTTCAAAAATTTATTTACTTCAGAATTATTACAGCCATCATAAAATTTAATTTTATGAAAACACTAAAACAATGAACTGGATTCATACATTTTTTATTTTACTTAAGTTTTTTTTTTTTGTATTTTTGCTACAATTTAATTCACAAAAGAACCCTTTAAAATTCAAAAACAAATGCTTTTTTTAAACGATCTAATTATATACTCATAGAATTCAAATACAGGTATGTATACATATACACACAACAATGTACAACGAAAGATAAAGAAAATCATTTAACAATGTTCCATTAAACTTAATAGACTGTAAAAATAGAGAAATTAAATAAAGTTAAAAAAAAAAGATATCTAAAGAATATTCAGAAATACGCTACTAGTGTACAGTTTATTGTATTAAAGTTTTACTGATTCGTTTAAATTTCAATTATGAAAAAAGCATTCAGTTGTTCAGCGTTACCCAACTCAATAAAATTTTATTATTAAATTATATATACATAATATGTATATAATACATATTTATATGAACGTCATTTTTAAAAGAAAATAACTGCGAACAACTTTATCTGCATTAAAATATTTCATAATTCAATTTTATCCTTACTAAAAAAAAAAATATTAAATTTAAACAAAAGAAGATACTTTCACTCATAGAATGAAGAGAAAACTATAGAATCAATTTCTTTGTATAAAAAAATTTTACGCAAATTCCCTCAGATTTTTATTAATATAATCTGAAAACCGAATTATCCGTCTTATGTATCAGTTTACCTTATTTAGTTTCATGCAGTCTTTCTATGTTGCCCTTTAAAAAAAGTTAGGAAATTAACTGTTTTGAATGAAATTCAACACTCCTGAAAATGTCACATTTTAACAGTTTAATTTGTGGGAACCAAAAGAACTTTCTTTTCTAATTGGACAAAAGTACACATATTTTGCGACTTGCTTCTGTTAGAGCTATACCTGAATTAACGCGGAGCAAGGTAATTTTTTAGTTCAATCAACACGAGGGATGCTTCATATGCATACACCAATATAAATTTTGTTTAGCTGCAGAATTACAAGAAAATGTCAATATTTCAAATTTACTTCTACTGTTTTTTTTTTGTGTTTTTCTCAAATTTTTGGGACAAGTTCATAGTGTATCAATGAATATTTAAATTTGTTTGAATTTTTTTCTACTTTTCCATTGCTACCTTCGAAATTTGGCAAAATTTTGGCTTTGGGCCAATTCCAGTTCTAAAGTATTAGCTTCATTTAACTTCCAATGAAATTAGAAGTATATATTTATATTTTACAAACCTCTTAATATGATGTTTAATCCAATCCATACATCCTCTTTGTTTTCCAGGTGGTATAAAAAAATCATAACCAGAATGTGGATAAAATGGACTTATCCGAACAATTGTATAAACAACAATACATTGATAATCCATATTTTAATAAACCGAACAAGTGAAGAAAACAAAAAAAAAAAAAAATAAAACACAAAAATTAAATTTTTTCTTTCAATGCACAACACCACAAAATATTACACCAATACTATTACAATTAATACTTTATTTAATTTTGTCTTTTTTTACCCACGCATAAATATAATTTTACTTATTTAAATTATTTAACTATTTTTATTATCATTATTATTATTTGAAATTCATTTTAATTTTATTGATAATATTTTTAATTGATTTGATGTGTGTTTAATTATTATTCTTATTATTATTTAAATTATACAAAGATAATAATTATGTAAAATTTCTTTAATTAAATATTAAAGAAAATTTTTCTATATATTCATAATAAATTTTAATTTATTTATGTATAAAATTTTGTGTAATTTTGATTTTTTTATAAAATGTTTTAAAAAATTTTTTTATTTATTATTTTAATTATTCATTTAACTATTAATTTTATTATTATAGTTGTTTTTATTATAATTAATTAATAAAATTTTAATAAAATTCGATAATTATATAATAAATATCGTATTTTTTGAAATTGTAAGTCTTATGGAACGGATTTTACCGTCAAATATGATTATATTCTATATAATAATAATAATTACAATCATTATATATATTTGTAATATAAAAGAAGAAACATTACTATGTTTATTTCGATTTTTATTTATATATAAAAAATTTTATTATTTATTTATTTATTTTTTTATAAAATATCAAAATTTTATAAAATACTGCTCCGTTTTTATTATTAAATTTTATTATTAATTAAATATTTTACATATATTATATTTTTTAATATAAAACACGTATAAAAAATTTTGTTTTCATTTCTTTTTTAAATTTTTTTATTGATAATTAATTATTATTTTTATAATTATTAAATAATAATTATTTGATAATAATTTACATAAATATTAAATATTGATTTAATAAAATTAATTTCTAATTCGATTTAATTTTAAATTTTATTAATTTTAATATTAAAATTATTTTACATTTTTATTAAATTTATTGATAATTATTTTTATTTTAAATTGATATATTTATTCATTTTTTATTAAAGTAATTTTTATTAAATTATTTTTAATTATTATATACACATATATATTATTTATTTTTAAATTATACACATTTATAAAATTTGAATCACACACAACCAACAGCACAGCAATAATTTATTTTTTTTTTGTAATATATATACATTTATACATAGATGTTTTTCCTCAGTTATACTTTATTTTGATATATTATATTATTTATGTTATGTTATTTTAATAATTAAATTGAGATCAGTGTTGTAGTTTGTTTTATAATATAATTGTGGTAAAATATGAGTTATACTACTATATAAAAGGTAAGACTTTGATTGTTCTTTTTCTAAATTGATTATTTATTTATTTTAAATTTTTTCTGTGCTATTTTTTTTTATAATTTGTATTCAATAAATACTGTGTACTTTTTCTAATATTAGATTAGTTATTGTGTATTTTTTGTAATTTGATATTGAATATAATATTTTTTACAGAGAGTTTATATTTGTATATATAGAATTTATTCCATTAAGAAATAGATACAAGAGATTATAATATAACACATTAAAATACCGAAGAGAGAATTGAGAACAAGAAGGGGTTAATAAAGAGAAAATTACTGTTTTCTTTTTTTTTTAATTTATTTAATTGTTTATACTGTAGTATACCATATAGTAATTAAATAACAATAGTTATAATTATTTAAATTCTAATATCTTTTGTCATAAGTTTTGTCATCATTTATATATACATATATATTTATATGTTTGTATGGATGTATTTAGGTATATAAGTATTATTAAAATGTTGGACGGTCAGTTAAAAATTCATATATTTTTTTTCTCTATTTTTTT